ATCTGAGCGGTTCAGAACATTGAAAGTGCTTGCCATAGAAAACTCATTTATTGGAATAGGATTTCCGATTATAGTATACTGAGTGTACTGCAAAGGAAGGAACCTCTTAGGTGGTCATATAGCTTAAAGCTTTCAGTTTGTGTATTAATAAATATCTGTAAAGATGATCAGAGGTAAAGGTCTGGGTTTTTTAATGTTTTGAATAAATTTTGCATTATGTGTCTGAAATAGTCTGCAGATGCTGCACGTTGAGAGGCTTTGGAAGATAAGCAGACATGTCTTTACGGCATGAGAAGAAGAAAGGTTAATTTTTTTTTTTAAACTTTTTGTTTCTTGAACAGCATCCTCATCATTCATCTCTGAAGGAGGAGGTGTCAGATGTTGTACGTCAAAAGAAGAAGTATCTAAAGAAACCTAAAATAGAGTGTGTAGTAACTCCTCAACAGCCCTCTGCTGAGCCCTTGCCTGTTATCAGCAAGAGTGATATTAAACAGTATGACTTCCACAGTTCAGATGAAGATGAGTTCCTGCAGGTAATACTCTGTTGCAAAATCTCAGTGTATAGAAGGTAGAAATTTCAGTTGCCTGTAATTTGGCCCGTCTAGCTCGAAATGGAGAATAACTCTGTTGGACGGTGGATATATATAAAAAAGATACTTGCATAAACTATGAGGTCTTGTTTTCTTCTTCTAAGCTATGCTTCAGAGAAGTTTGCATTTAATATACAAATGTAGCAGTTCCTGTTATATGAATATAAATTTGTATAATAAATAAAATTATATTATATAAATGTGGCAGTTGGAAGAATGACTTTACTTTCTGATCCAGGTACCCTCACCAGTATCGGAAGCAGAAGAAGAAAATGATCCTGATGGACCTTGTGCTTTCCGGAGAAGAGCAGGATGCCAGTATTATGCTGTAAGACTATCTGCTGTTGGATTTAGTGTGGTGGTTTTTGTTATGTTGGGTTTGGTTTTTTTAAATTTGGATTGACATCATGCTAATGTAATAGTTATACTGTTCACACTTTTACCACCAAAGCTTTAATCGTTCAGTGAATCCAAATACGTTCGTTTTCAGTCTTCACGAAAATCATTCTCATTGTATTGTTCCTCTGCGATTAGCTGAAGGTAACACAGTGTGTTGCCTGCAGACCAATTCAGCCACTGTTAAGAAGAGAGATATTTTTTTTTTTGTCCCCCCAGTTTTCTTAGCCCATCCAGCACATCCTTTCTTCCCAGCTTATACAGCTCGTTAAAGTTACATACTAGTTGTCCCAGTTCTCAGACCTGCTGAGAGATCCTACTGGGGTATTGAGTAGAGTCTGCTATTGAAGCAAAGGGGTTTAATCTGTTGAGGATTTTTTTTTTATATAGTTAAGTCAAAATTTTCTTTTGAAATTAGTGCAAACTGTAGATATATTGAAAAACATTAGGTTGCAGTTGTAAGAATGTGCAAGGACAGAGACTATTTATAGATGTCCAGAACTGCTGACAGTGAAATTTTTTTAGCAAGCATACGCCTATAGATGGGGGAGCTTTAGGCTGCAGAGGACCAAGAAAGGCAACACAATACTACAATGAGTCTGGTTTTTCTTTGCTTGCTTCCCATGGGAAGATTGAAATTATATGACAAAATAATTGGAAAAAATAATTGTGTACTTCTTTAGCCTTTAAAGCCACTTACAGAGGAATCGTTTAGTCTCTAGGTAGGCTGTTTCAGAAGCCCAAACATCCCCCAGAATAATGAAATTATAGCATGGGCATCTTACACAAGTTGTACTGGAAGTTCTTTGCACGGGTTGGATGTGTCCTGGCACCCGCTACTGTGCCTGCTTTGCGGTGTCTGCCTGTGGTGTAGTCACTTCCGGAATACCACAGACAGCTGGATCTTTCCAAGAACATGTCATTATTTTTAACTACTTCTCTTATTTTAGAGATTTATTAGTGGGTTATTTAAGATAATACTTGCCACCTGTTTTTTTTTTTTTTTGCGTGGCCTCTTATCTTACTTGTTCTTTCAGTTTGGGTGAGTTTGGTGGGTTTTTTAACCTGTTGATTGATAATCTAGTCACCTTTTCTGCTTAGCCTCAGATCATTGGCTGAAGCTTCTCTCTTGCTTAGAATTTATCCTTGGTTGGTTGTTTTTTCCCCTTAGCCTGTAACTTAACTTCTTTGCCAAAAGATGTTGAGATGACTGAAAACTTGTATTCTCATTACTTTTCCATTGCTGCTTAGAAGCAGGTTATTTGACAGCCTTAACGTTAACCTTTTAGGGTTGTGTTTTTTTTTTTTTAAACTACTGAAGCCATTTGAGTTTTGCTTAACTCTTAACATAAATTGATTGATGTATAGCACTACTGTTGCTGTAGGTTTAACCTGATCACAAAAATTGATTATTTTAATAAATATTTATTAACCTGTCATATAAGACATTTCAGTGCACAGCATTTCTGCTTGTAAAGATTATGCAGTTTTGAGTTCATAATAATAATGAAGATATTAATGGAGTAATAAAAATGCCTTAAGGTAAGCTGATAATGGAAAAATACACTTTCAAGATCCAGTATTGAATGCTGTGTATTGGAACAAAGGCCATTCACGTCAGCATCTGTTACCTTTGGCAGTTATGTGTTTCATGAGTAAAACTGAACTGCAAATTTAGGAACCCCTTTTGAAATTACCTACACGCCTAGGTTGCAAGCTATCTGAGTTGGGAATTGTTGTCGCTTCGCCTTGTACAGCTGGTAATTCAGTGGGATCTTTCATAAATGAACAGACCTTCTTGGTGTTTCCTTTGTCACAATAAGTACTAAAAGTAGTTTTCTATAGCATGATACTTAGCACTGGAGTTGTGCATGTAGTTCTGAGGTATTTCTATCGATTACTTTTCATAAACTCATTTTTACAGACAAAATCTTTTATGCTACTGACCCTTACTAGTGGGATTGGATGGGCCTTCAACTGATCACAAAACTTAGTCAAGCTGCAGCCTTGCCTGCAGTAAGTCCTTTGGCTTCTAAAAGCCTGAAGCTCAGAGGCTGAAACAAAACAGGAATTGCTCCCTGTGTTTTAAATCTTGTGATGTATCACCACAAGAGCCATTATCAGACAGGAGGTACTGGGCAAGATGGACCTGTGTCTAGGCAGGACAGTTTTATGTGCTTGGTAGAATGAATTAATTCTGACTTGTTCTGTATTTTTGTTATGGCACCTAATTTTATGACTAATCAAGGAAAGAGGCTTTTCTGCGTCATGAATTCGTGTATTTCTTTTAAAAGAATCTTCCAAGTTCTTCTACGATCTGAGCATGTTAATCACGTGATAGTTCTGTGGGCATTTTCAGCACTTTCTATACAGTAACCTGTGCATGGTAATCGCTTAGTAGTAACCTAATCAAAGTGTACGCCCTAAATGACTGCAAAATTGCCTTTTTTCTTTACAGCCTCGTTTGGACCAAACTAATTCTTCATATGAAAACTCAGAATTGGCAGAATTGGACAAACTGAGGTTCCGGCATTGCCTTACAACCCTTACGATTCCAAGAAGATGTATAGGATTTGCAAGAAGACGAATTGGCAGGGGTGGAAGGTACGGTTGCATTATTTTTACTCTTCATTCCCCTTCAAAGGATAAAAGTATTAGGAAGAGACCGTTAAACTAACGTCTTTTTTTCACCCTCTTTAATCAGGGTTATAATGGACCGAATAACCACAGAACATGATCCTGTCTTGAAACAGATTGACCCGGAAATGCTGAACGCTTTTTCAAGCTCTTCCCAGACTTTAGACTTTTCTTCTAATTTTTCACGGACCAATGCTTCCAATAAACGTTGTGAAAACAGACTGTCCCTTTCTGAAATACTAAGCAATATCAGATCATGTCGATTGCAGTGTTTTCAGCCAAGGCTACTCAATCTACAGGACAGCGATAGTGAAGAATGTACCTCAAGGAAACCAGGGCAGACTGTGAATAATAGAAGAGTCTCTGCAGCATCTGTAGCTTTATTGAACACCAGCAAGAATGGCATATCAGGTAGGCAAGGATTTGAATTCTTCTGGAACTTCAAATACTGAATTCCAGTGTTTTTACTTGTGACTGGACTGGTAATATCTTCAGCAGTGAGGTGTACCTAAACTAAAGATACAAGGTAGTTATTTTGTATTTCTTAGAATGGACAGAAATTTTTCCACAAACAGTCCTCTTCCTCCTGCTGTTATTACGATTTCAGTAGAATCTTGATAAAGTGCTGGACTTAAATATGCATTATTCAAAGGAGGGATTCTGCTCGTATTTAAGAATTGCTTAGGTGTGATTGAGTCTTAAGGACTTTAATTGGTCTAACTTTGCTGAAGGAGAGAAGAATGCTCTTTATGAATGCAGAAGAAAAGCGGTTGGTTTCTTGGGCAGGGGGGGTGGTGTGGTGTCACTTTTGATGTCAAGAGTTTTTCTTTTTGACTCTTGCTAAAACATCTCAGAAGACCAGTAATAAGTTAGTAAGCATACTGAGCAGGCCTGAAAACATCTGAAAACAGTGCTTTCTGTTGATAGCTGTCATAGTAAAAATTTTGACACTGGAAGCATGCAATGATGCACCTTCTCTGTTGATTTTTTCAGAAAATCATCAGCTGTTGATTAAGTGTGATAAGAGATTGCCTTTCCCCTGAAATGTCATCTCTAACTCTCATAGCTAATGCAGCCATCTTACTGCTCAGCTTTATGACCCGATAGCTCCAGATGGGCGAGACAGCCATTCACATATAAACGGTTTTACATTAAAAAAAAAAA